TGGCCTCTCCTAGCTGGCTAGCTTTATCTCGATGGGAGCAGAGCTAACCTACCACAATTCACTTAAGATTTTTTTAAAAGGCCATTAGTGCCCTCTGGGGTCCCCCAGGATGGCAGGCTCCACCTTCTCCCCCTTCTACTTGAACTTCAGACCTTTGACTGTACAGGGGGAAACCCCACAGGCATTTTAGGCCAGCCCTGTCTTCCTGCTCAATAGAACCAGAGGTAGCAGGACACACTCAGTGTAGCTGGTCGATCCATCCCCCACAGCTTACAGCCACCTTCCCACTGCCAACCAGGGTTAACAGGCAGATTGCCCACTCTCCTGGTTTCAGGGTAAGAAGAATTTAGGGCAGGGAAAGGGTGGGGTGTGGTCAAGCAAAATTATTTCTTGAAAGTGTATCATGACATGAAATGTCAAGCTAACTCAAAGCAGGAAGAGACTAAATAAATAAATAAATAAATAAACAAAGGCTGATTTTCTCCCCTTTCTAAGCACCTCTAGACAAAACCACAGCATTAAATGCTAGAGCTGACCCTTGTCTTACTGCAATGTTGAAGGAAAATGCCCTAGTCTTTAATCTTCCTTCTTCTTGCTTTCTTTGAGAGACAGTAATTCCAGGACAGAGGCTGTCAGTGACATTCACCTTCCACACCTTAGCCCTTGAGGAAATAGCAGAATTCAAACAGATCCATTCCCCCTGACTCGAAATAGGAAAGAGGGGCAAAAATTTAACAAGTAGACACTAGAACAGGTCCCATAAAACTGAGTTTTCTCAAGAATGTCTGCATTCCTCAACACCACTCACTTGTCTAACCCTATTCAGCTAATTTGGTGTCTGTGTGGTCTGAAATGAGCCCAGGTAAATTACAGTCCAAGCATCTAATGAAAGTAAACTGGATATCAGTCAAATCAAAGGAAACTGATACCATGCTTCGAAGCCTGGCTCGGTCTTTTTAGAAAGCCTGGCTGAAGAGACAGCTCCAGCCCCATGTGGGGTTTCCTCCTTCTTGCCTCTGCCCTGAACTTGCCTCAAACTTGAAAGGGCTAATTAAGGCCAAGAAAAAAAAATCAAAAGCTTCTTATCTGGCTCCATTAAGTCCAATCCTGGCATCAATCATTCCTGTTTTCCTGATTATTCTATGAAAGTTTCCAGCACACTGCAGGGAAAGGAAGGGAAGGGAAAGGAAAAGAAGGAAAATGGGAAAGAAGGAAGGAAGGAAGGAAGGAGAAGGGAAGGAAGGAAGAAATTAAATGGAAGAGAAGGAAGGAAGACAAAGAGGAATGAAGGGAAGGAAAAGGAAGGAAAATGGGAAAGAAGGAAGGAAGGAGAAGGGAAGGAAGGAAGGAGAAGGAAAGGAAGGAAGGAAGGAAAGGGAAGAGAAAGAAGAAAGGAAGACAAAGAAGAAGGGAAGGAAGGAAGAGGAAGGGAAGGAGGGAAGAGGAAGGAAAGGAAGGAAGGAAGGGGATAGGGAGGGAGGAAGGAAAAAGGAAGAGAGAAAGAAAGAAACAGAGAAAGAAAAAAGATAGCATTTATAAAATACCTACCTTGTGTCAGGCATTGTGCTAAGCTCTTTATAAATGTATATCATCTAATCCTCACAGCAACCCTATTTTTATAGGTACTATTTTTATCCCTATTTTATAGTTGAGGAAGCTGAGGCAAACAGAGGCTAAGTGACTTATGCCCAGAATATATGGCTACTAAGTATCTGAAGTCAGATTTGAACTTGGGGCTTCCTAGCTCTGAGCCTAATACTCTATCCACTGGGCCACACAGACACCTTCAATGAATCTGAGTTTACTTTATATACAACAGAAAGGACATGGCAACACCCTTCTCCTCTCCCCCCCAGCACATCAAGGGTTCACCTATGTGAGCCAGGAAACTGTTCTTGCTCCTAGAATCATAACTTTAAAAGGCCTCTCTGGTCAAATTTCTGCTGGAAAGCAGTCTCCAAAAGTCCTTTGGTGCTTCTATTCCCTGAAGATCTCACAAGAATCTGGCATTGCTAAAGAAATTGCAAAGCACAAATGTGTCAATTCCTAGACAGCTACACACAGAGAGGTTGAGGATGCACTAGCAGATATGTACACACATTCTATAAACCTATTTATTCATGAATACACAGTCAGAAACTGGAGCTAGAAATGTAAACCAAGAGTCTAAGCTCCTAGTCCAGGACCATGGCCAGATGGTCATCTAAGAAAATCCCTGGGATTAAAAACCCTGTACAACCTGGTTACAACCTATCATTATAGCTTTTTAAAATACATTACTCCCTTTCACACACTCTTCAGTCCAACCAAACCGCTTCTTGATGTTCCTCACACATATTACATCTCCCACTTCCAAGCCTTTGCGTATACACGTTGTCCTCCTATACCTGGAATGCCTTCTCTCTTCATCTCTGTCTCTTAAAATCCCTACTTTCCTTCAGAGTTCAGCTTAAACACCATCTTTACCATGAGGCATTTCCTAATCCTTCCAGCTGCTACCTCCCCCCTCCAAAAAAATTACCTTGTATTAATTTTGTATATACTTTTACATAGACATGTTGTTTCCTCTTATAGAACTTATTCTCCTTGAGGCCAGGTATTCTATTGTCTGATGTTTGGTTATTCAATCAGTCAAGAAGCATTTATTAAGTGCTTAATACGGCACCACCGTACTAATTACCAAGACTCAAAGAAAAACAAAAACGCACACACAAACGATCCCTGCCTTCAAGGAGCATGCATCCTAAAATGGGGGTAACAGTATATGAACAAACAGGTACATACAATGTACATAGATAATAAAAAGGTACATACAAGATAGAAGGTAACCTTAGAAAGGGAAGACTTAAGTGGCTGGGTGGGGGGACAGGGAAAGTCCTCCAGAAGAAGAGGAATGTTTGAGGAGAGTACATAATAAGAGTTTAATAAATGCTTGTTGAACAGACTACAACCTGAACTAACTATCATCACCATCTAAGTTCTACTCTCCTCTAACTAGTCCCTCTCTAGGCTTTCCCTGCCTTCATCTCTATTTCTCCCAATGGTCCCTTAATAAAAATGGCAGGAACAAAAAGGGGAAGGGTTTCTAGCTATCTAGGAATATACGTGTGTGTGTGTGTGTATGTGTGTGTATATATATATATATATATATATATATATATATATATACACACACATATGTGCTACTGGAGTCCCACCCGGTTGTCTTATCATGATGGGTAAGTGATCTTAGGTTCCTGAAATCCATAGAGCAAGAAAACAGGACCATAGGAATCAAGCTCTGATAGGTCCTGCCTAGTTGGAAAGGTTTTGACTACGAGCCTGGCAAAATTGTGTGTGTGTGTGTGTGTGTGTGTGTGTGTGTGTGTGTGTGTGTGTGTGTGTAAGGAGGGGGCGGGGTCAAAGGGCCAGCTTCTATAATTAGGTGAGAGGCTCATCACCATTTCTAATGATGACTTATTTTAGCCCCAGCAGCTCATGAAACTATCAATTAAAGATATGAAAGGGTTTATGATCTTTCTAAATCAAGTATCACACCTAAAACATTTAGTTACAACTCAAGCCACAGTCTCCTCAAATCTGAAAAAAAAAAAACTATCTCACAGATTGATTTGTCTGAAGCTGGAATTCAACTAGAAGAGCAAAAGAGGAAAAGAAAGGAACAGAGATAAGTATCCCAAAATTCCAGATCTCAAATTTAATACACTCATTCACCCAATGATTGCTTCATTCTAAGCTTCTAGAAAAAATCATCTTAGATTTAGATCTAGAACATACCTCAGGCCACATGAAGTCCAACCCTTTCATTTAATAGAAGAGGAAACTGAGGATAAGAGAGATTGAGTAATTTGTCCAAGTTCATACAACTAGTAAGTATCTAAGGCAGGATTTGAACCCAAGTCTTCCTGATTCCAAGTCCAGTGCCTATCTACTACACCATACTGCCTTACTCACTGCCTAAGATTATGAACTGGACAGGTATGTCTTTCTATTACTGTAGAGAACATAGCCTAGCATATTATCTACTGCTCTATCTGTAGTGTCTGGGATGGGACCAAACATAAGTAGATATTTCTTCAGTATGACTCATCCCTCTTAGCAGCACTTCCTAATTTTCAATAATTCAAATCAACAATCATTTATTAAGTACCTACTATATGCGACTGTACTAGGGGCTGGGGATACAAAGAAAAAATATGAAATATTCCCTGCCCACAAGTAGCTTCTATTCCACTGGGGGGTGGGAAGGAGATGATGTATACACAACTAGGCAGTACAGTGGATAGACCACTAGACCTGGAGTCAGGAAGAACTGAGTTCAAATCCAGCCTTAGATACTTACTAGCTGTGTGACTCTAGACAAGTCATTTAACTTTTCATCCGGAAAATTGAGATAATAATAACATGTACCTGCCATGGTTGTTGTGAGGATCAAATGAGATAATATTTGTAATGCACTTTGTAAACCTTAAAGCACTATATAAATGCTATATTATTATTATACATGGATAATTAAATATAAAATATATTCCAAAATTTTTGTTGTTGTTGGAGTGGAGAGAAGTACAAACAATGAGGCAGTATATAATGTAATGTAGTGGGAAGAACATGAGACTGGGAGGAAAAAGTCTTAAGTTTCCATTCTCTATCCATCTATAAGTCATTTTACTTCTCTTAGAATCCTATTATCATTCCTACAAATAAGAAAACTGAGGCTTGGAGAAATATAATGACTCATTCTTAGTTCCCTCAAGTATAAATTAAGAACAGCATTACCTGCCCTACCTACTTCACAGAGCAGTTTGTGAAAATAATATGGAAAATAATAGAAAGAGAAGATTATCAATAAATATGTTGTCAATTCAAAGAAAAAAAGAAAAAATGTTTTCTGGGGGAGGGAAGATCTGAAAGCCACTAAAGGAACTGTTGCTAATACTACCCACTGCTATGAAGTCCCATTGGTCTCCAGTCAGATTTTCTTAAGGCCGGCCCTGACTCACCGCACTGCTGCAGGGGATATCCTTCACTTTGAGCCAGGCGAGGTCCAGAGTGCCCTCCCCCCTGTAGCAGGACTGTAGTCTCTCCTTGATACGATCATTGATCTGCTTCAGGACAAAGATGCACAGGGCTGATTCATCCAGCGATTTCATTTTCCGCTTCTGACCCTTGGAGAACACAGTAAAGAGGATGTCATCATCTGATCGAACTCCCAAGGTCCGGGCGAGGAAGGCCCCTGCCTTGGAAAGGTAAGCAGCTTGCAGCAAGCGATACTCCACCCCATTGCGCTCACAGCCAATGGGCACCTCCACGTAGGAGTTGAAGGCTGTGTCCTCCTTACACAGCCTCACCAACTTGGAGGTATAAACTTGTTCCTTGGTGGTGGAGCCTGGTGGGGACATCATTTCTGGCTGGAGGGTCAGGAAGTAAACAAAGTTGCCGCTGCTAAATCCATAGACATAATAGATGTCAAAGTCAGGGATGATGGTGAAGGTGTCTGAAGGTATCTTAATCATAGAGGCCACAAACTCATCATGGAAGACGTAAGCGAACATGCCATCAGCTTCAGAATTCTTAGTCAATTTGCGGCTAGAGATAGTCGGAAAGTATTCTGGCTTCCCATCCACGGCAGTGGCAATGAACAGCTTATCATCCAGGTTGTTGTAGGAGACAATGACGCCAAAGACGGAGCCACTTTCGTTGACCCCAGACAGGTAATGTTCTTTCTTGTGAAATGGCTCTCCTAGCTTGAAGAGGTCCTCCAGCCTTAGCAGCTTACAGATACCCTGGTACAGACTCCCACAGGCAATCAACCTGTTCTCCTTATAGTCAATGAGGAGCATTTTGTTGACATTATTGGTGGTTGTAAGGGGCTCATTGCAGGTCTGGACAATTCGGGGTGGGTAGCACTTGGGGTTATCCTCATCAGGCCCTGTCTGATGGGTCACCAGGACCTTCAAGTCACTGGACAATTTATAGATACGGTTGACAGCCCCCAGGTAGATGTGCCCTGTCCTTTCATCCACCACAAGGTGGTTGAAGCCCTCGGTGGGCTCTGCAGTGAATGTGAGAAAAGACCGCTTCTGGGGTGAGGACGGGGGTTGTCGGGAAAGGAGGGCTGCAGAACCCATCCCCAGAAGCAGGAGATGGGAGAGCAGACAAGTCCAGTTCCAAGGCATGGCCTTCATCTCAGAAATGAGTCCTCTTGGCCACAGAAATAGTCACACACCAAGAGGCACTTCAAAGGATCAGGACCCCCCGGATGGGTCTTCCCCTGTAAATAGGGAAAAAAAGAGAAATAAGCATGGAAAACAACCACAGAGCTTGAGGCTACTCTAGAGCCTATATGTGGGGTTCTCAGAGTATTAGTACACACTGAAGCAGGATCTTTTAGACGAGTATGTGAAGAATGAGACAACTAGGTAGCACACTGGATCATGCCCCGGACTTAGACTCGGAAAGACCTGAATTCAAATCTATACTCTTCAAATCTTACTGTGCATCCCTGGGCCAGTCACTTAAACTCTCTTTTCCTCTATTTTCTGAACTGTAAAAATGGGTCTAATAATAGCACCTACCTCCCGGAATTGTTGTGACTATCAAATGAGATAATATTTATAAAGCGTTTTGCAAACCTTAACAAGCTATACAAACGCTAGCTATTATCATTGCTATAAACAGACACACCTTGCAGTCATATGACATTTTATGAGAACAAAATACCGTATCTCATGCATTACCTTATTTGATATGTCACAGTGACTTTTTGAGCCAAGCAAATAAGACTGAATTATTCCCACTTTCCAGAAGAGGAAACCCAGTCCCAGAGAAATCTAGTAATTTGCCCAACATCATGCAGCTAGTGAGGGAGCATGATGAGGATAGAATTCAGGTCTTTGGACAGTTAAACCCAGTGTTCTTTCCATTATACCCTCTCTGACTAGAATCCAGCTGGCTCAACTCCCACCATTGATGACTAGGGCAGCCATAGCTGGGAAATCACATCGACGGGGCCCAGGGTTGAGAGGTGGTGTTGTAGGTATGCAAGCAGCTCAACCCAGAGCTACAAAGAGAAAAAGAAATCTGTTCTCATACACACAGCAAAAACTGGAAATTCAAACTCACTTGGCTCCCAGGCTATCAGGTTCTTAATAGAGCCACTCAGTTCAATCAACATCTATTAAGAATCTTCTGTGTACAGACCCCTAAAGGATGCTGCCTCTCTCTAGGAATTACTGTAAGAGAGTTAGTTTCTATGTATGCATATCTTCTGTGCAGGTCCATGGAGAATCTGTTATTTCTTCACAGTAGTAAAGAGAGAGGGAGAGGGAGATACAAAGAGAGACAGAGGCAGAGATACAGATGTATCTTTATCTCTCCATCATACAGAGAGAGAAGGAGAGAAGGGGTGGGGGTAGAAGGTGGAGAAAGAAATCATGCCCTCAAACTACAACTTAGTAGATAAATCTCTTTGAGCAACCTGAAGCACGCACACGTTAAATGATTTTGCCCAGCCTCTCACAACCAAGAAGTATCAGAGACAGTCTTTGAATTCAGGTCTTCCTGACTGCAAGTCCAATATGATATCCCCTACACCATGATATGTATACACCACAGCCTAAATACCTTTCTATCTCTCCCAGTGCCTACCACAGTGCTCTATCCCTCACCCGTGATGAACCACCAGGTTTCAGTGCCTTTGGACTTGCTGTCCTCCATACCTGAAGTGCCCTCCCTTCTTCCTTCCAACTCTTAAAATCCCTGGCTTCTTTCAAATTTAGCTCAAATGCCAACTTCCACAGAAGGCCTTCCCAATAATCCTAGATATTAGAACCATTCTTTCTAAGGTTTTCCTTGTATCTACTTTTAGGTAGCTAGCGACTCAGGGGCAACTAGGTGGTACAATGGATAGAGTGCCAGGACTGGAGTCAGAAAGACTCATCTTTTTGAGTCCAAATCTGGCCTCGGACGCTTACTATGTGACCCTGGGCAAGTTACTTTAACTGTTTTTACCTCAGTGTCCTCATCTGTAAAATGAGCTGGAGAAGGAAAGGGAAAACCTTTCGGTATCTTTGCCAAGAAAACCCCAAATGGGGTCATGAAGGGTCAGACCCAATTGAAAAATGACTAAACAACAATAGCTAGTTATTTATATGTTGTCTCCCCCATTAGAATGTATTCTCCTTGGAGGCAGAAATTATTTTTGCTTTTTCTTTGCTTGCTTGGATGTACATACAGCAAGTACATAATAAATGCTTGTGTATTAGTTGACAGCAGGCATTTAATTGCTGCAAGAATGAATGAATTTTTATTCATATCCCCACACATATATATTCTACTCTAGCACCATTTTTTTTCTTCTCCACCCTCCTCTGACCAGTCAATAAGAGCCAAATTAGAAATCCAAATCCCCAAACCCTCTCAATTGTAGCAGCAAGCAAACAAAGTCCTCTGGGTAGGCTGCCCGGCTTCAAGCCCTAATGTCATCATAACAAGGCAGTTCTTGGCTGTGTCCCATTATAGGGCCTCCTCAGAGGTTTTCATTAAAAGGGGGGAAATGCCTTAAGAAGTAGTGGAGTAAATAAATAAATAACTGCCTCTGTAGGAAAACTTTCAGTTCTAATGACCCAATTCATGTCCATTCAAGATGCTTTCTGCCAGTTTCCAGAAGAATCTGTTTCTGTTGCTTCCAATTTATGTAAATTCAGGGCAGAAACTGCTAAGGATCAGGGAAGCGTCCCAATACTGTAGAATTTCCCCTAAAACTGGGTGGGGGGAAGGGAAGCCCTAGGAGGAAATGCTAAAAAGAGACCATGCAGAAGGCTAGACTACTGCAGTTACAAATGAACAGAAGCAGAAAGAGTTTAGAAGAAAAAGATAGTATCATCCAGAAGTGACAACCTCAGCCAGAGTCAAGTTATACTGATCCTGTTACACAAATGAATCAGGGCTTCAGGACTTGTAAATGGCAGTGTTCCCTTTCTCCTCCAGTTTCACCAATAAATATGAATTCTCAGTACTAAATTGAGGTGTTCCAGCATGTTAAATATAATGCTAGATTTGAAATCAGAGGACCTGAGTTCAAATGGTCCACCACTTAGAAACCTTGAGAACTTTGAAAAGTGCTTCTAGAAAGGAAACTAAAGGCAGCCAGGTTGGCCCAGTGAAGTCAAGAAGATTTGAGTTCAGATCCAGCCTCAGATACTTATTAGCTGTGTGACCCCGCACAAGTCACTTGAGTTTGTCTGCCTCCATTTCTTCAACTATAAAATGGGGATAAACTCCCAGAGTTGTTGTGAAGATCAAAAGAAATAATATTTGTAAAGTGCTTAACAGAGTGCCTGGCACATAGTAAGTGTTTAACAAATGCTTGTTTCCCCTTTCCTCTCTTCTTCTTTTCTTTCTTTCCTTTCTTCCCTCTCAAAGTCTCAGTTTCCTCATCTAGACAATAAAGAGATGAGGATACATCACTGCTCAAGTCCCTTTTAGCTGTAAATCCTATGATTCTATAAGCTAAACTGTCAGAGAGGGACACCAGAGGAAGTCAGCAGAGACCCCTGCATTGTTGGGAAGCAAAGGCATCACCACCCTAAGGGATTTTGAGGACAGGAATTGGGATCATAGGAAGGGAATAGTATGGAAGGTGAATAGACGATCCCAACTCCTTATTTCTTCAAGTGAACAGATCTGTTAGCCTTCCCAATCATTTCTCCTCTTCTCACTTCAATTATGTTCATAGGAGGCAGGATGTCATGGTGGTTAGAGTATTAGACATGGAAACAGGAAGACCTGGGTTTAATTTCCACGTCTGTCACTTACTACCTGTGTGACCTTGGGTAAGAATCTCATCTGTAAAATGAAAGAATTGGATAAGATGGCTTCCAAGGTCCCTTCCAGCGATAAATCTATGATCTTATGTTATCTAGTTGAGAGGTGGGGGTGGAGAAAGATTGGGGTATTACATCTGTGATAGAATTCTGTACTTTGAGGGATCCTTGGAATAGAATGAATTGGAGCGGGGGATGTCTCCTCCAATTAGAATGGTAGCTCTTCGGGAAAAGAGAGTATTTAACTTTTTTAATCTGTAGTCCCACTACCTTTTATCTTGACATTCATCATACAGTGGGAAAGGTGCTAGTTCCAGAGTCAGAAGAGCTGGTTATGACATTGCTTGCATAATTTGGGAATATCAGTCTACCTGCCTGGGCCTCAGTTTCCTCATGTATCAAATGAAGGAGTTGGCCGAGATTCTGACCACAGATGTCCTTCCCACTTCTAAATCTGTGCTCCTATGCTCTTCCTCCCACTGGATGTAAGGCAGTGTGGCTGTTGTCTTGGAGCCTGGACTCATAACTTAATTCCTGGGATAGGAGAGTATAGAAAGCCCTCTTCTGATTGACAAAAACCCAAAAGGCACAGGGCCAGAAACACAAATTCCTCAACCCTGCTGGTGCCTGGAAAGCCTCTAGGAAAGGTAAGCCTATGGAGGAACCATAACTTCCCAGCAATATTATTGTGAGGGCACTTCATGGAGGGGGTCAAGGGGAAACAACTTATAATAAAGGAAAGAGATTTCCCCACCCCCACCCCAGCACTGCGTTGGGGAGGATTCTGTAGTCTTGCAATAGTTAAGGCTCTACTAATGGATTCCCTGGCCTTCACATATAAGCTCAATATTGCTGACCCACTATGAGGATTTTACCCAGGTTGAAGGGGAAAAAAACCCAAATATAAGCTTTCCCACAGGATCTTAATGGAAGAAGAGGAAGAGAAGGAATGATCAGACCTGAAGCTTTGTTACCTTGCTACTCCCTCACTACAATCAGCTAGTGAGGGAGCTAAGATTAACTTCTTGAAGCAATAGCATGCCTAAACACACACACACACACACACACACACACTCAAGTCAATCATTCTATAGACAGAGTGCACAAATGCAAAGGAGAAGCCCCTATGAATATATAAATCAATATTGCTTCTTCTCAACGCTTAAACACCTAAAACTTGCATTCCTGCTCACACATAAGTGGTACTGGTTATGTTTGCTATAGGGAGGAGAAAGAGATGGGGCATGTACTCATTCATTGAGTGGCAATGGGAAGAAACCACTGGACTGTCTCTGGAGCCCTTCCCCAAATGTTCCAGTCTACTACGCAGATCCCAATCAAGATCTAACCTTCCAAGGATCGTTGACTTGGAACAGCTCAGGACCCTGGTTGGGTATATTTGACCACTTAAACCAATTGCCATATGTCCTACTGCTATACCCTAAGG